GGATAAGGGAAGATACCCCAAGAAGGGGACCATTTCTTTAAAGTGTTTTATTTGATTAATGTAGGCAGATTTTGCATTCTGTTGCAGTATATGCTTGTACTGGCTCTAATAGAGAAATGTCCCCAAGTGACTATCTCTGGAACATGTGCATGATGCTGTGCACTTAAACTTCCAGTAGCACATTCCTGGAAGCATTTCCATAACTGGCCACAACAATACTGTTACAGTAACTCTCAGTCAGCAAGGAGAATGTTTTGGAACATTGCCCAGATCTGGCTCACAGAGGGAGACTAACCTGAATTGTAACAGACCCATGCCCAACTCAGTTGCAGACAGGTTATTTAAGGCACTGAGAAAAATTCAAAGAAGTAAACAATTTTGCCTCATTTAGGTTAACACCAAGTAGCTCACTGTTATGTTAAAGACTACTTTGGAAATGAGAGCACATGGTGGATGCCAGCTATTCTGGGGGAACGTGTTTGGCTTTCAGTGTCATAGTTCTTTTCCTACGGATTGATGTATGGGATAATCTTTGCTAGTTGGGCATGTTGATGTCTTTATGGTTCACTGTAAGTGCGAGTGTTCTAAGACCTGAGGAGTGTTAGCACAGAAAGATACTTTCAAAGATAGTAGAGAGGGCCTGGAAGTGCCATCAGTTAAGATCTGAAAAGGAACTTAAAAATACAAAGATTTATTTATTTGAAAGTCAGTTACAGAGAGGAAAAGACAGATACCCACAGGTTTGCTTCCCAAGTGACCACAACAGCTAGGGCTGAGCCAGACCCAGTCCAGGATCCAGGAGCCTTCTGAGTCTTCGGCGTGAGGAGCAGGGGTGCAGGGACTTGGGTCATCCCTCTGCTCCTTTTCTCATTCCTTTAGCATGGAACTGGGTCAGAAGCAGATCAGCTGTGGCTTGAATCTGCCCCCATAGGTGTTGCTAATGTTGCACATGGTAGCTTAAAAAAATATTTTTGAAAACATAAGGCATGTTTGGGCTTCTACAGAAAGAATGGAGGAAAAGAAGTCCACAGGAGGAGATTGTAAGGCAGAGGCAGAAGGGCCAACAAAGGGAACTTGGCCAGGAGCCAGGGAGAAACTGGTAATAAAGCAACAACTATCTGTGTAGATATACACACCCTAGGAATCCCATGTTCAGAAGGCTGGCTTTAAGAAATGTGCTGGGTTATAAGGGGATTTTTCCTTTATACAATCAAAGATTGTAGAAGATTTAAATTGTATGTGCCCAATGTCATAATATGTCAACATGTTGCTTGTGAGTTCGTTTTTTGGCTAATAAAAATATTGCCATACCTTCTTTTTTTTTTTTAAAGATTTATTTTTATTATTTTTTATTGGAAAGGCGGATATACAGAGAGGAGAGACAGAGAGGAAGATCTTCCATCCGATGATTCACTCCCCAAGTGAGCGCAACGGGCCGATGCTATGCCGATCCAAAGCCAGAAGCCTCTTCCGGGTCTCCCACGTGGGTGCAGGGTCCCAAAACTTTGGGCCGTCCTTGACTGCTTTCCCGGGCCACAGGCAGGGAGCTGGAAGGGAAGCGGGGCTGCCAGGATTAGAACTAGTGCCCATATGGGATCCCGGGCGTGCAAGGCGAGGACCTTAACCACTTGTGCCACCGCACCGGGCCCTGCCATACCTTCTTATTCTGATGGGAAGAGCATGCCTTAGAGAACTGAAGTTAGTGGCAAATTGGGAAAGAAGTGTGGTCCCCCTGATAATAGAATGGTGGCCACGTCCTCGCCATGTGAAGACAGCTGTGGGATGTTGGGAGTCACTCTTGCCCTGTGCACATTCCATGCTGCACAGCACACTGTGTTTTTGTCTGAACATCTCTGGTTTGAGGGTAGCCATTCTTGGAGGCCCCTTCAGGGGGAGAGGCGTGCCTTCTGTTATCTGCATGGCACATGGTGCACAGCAAGTACTCAGCAAATCTTGACTCAGTTGAAGTTGAATTACAGTGACAGGCTGGGTTGTTTATCTCAGAAGTTCATGTTGGTATTAATACCTAAACAGAAGCACTGCATTGATTTCTTAGTAAAACATGGACCCTGTGAGCCCTTTATAGTTAAGTCATTTTAATTATCTGAGAGGTAGGGGCGGAGGGAGAGATCTTCCCTCCGATGGCTTTCCCTCCAAATGCCTGCAACAGCTACCACTGGGCCAGGCTGAAGATAGAAGCCTGGAGCTCACTGTGGGTCCCCTCTGTGGATGGTAATGAGATCCAAGTACTTAAGCCACCAACTGCTGCCTCTCTGGTCCCCATTAGCAGGAAGCTAGAATTGGGAGTGAAGCATATACTAGAATCCAGGTACTCTGACGGAGGGTACAGGTGTCCCGAGATTCAGCCAGGCCTTGATTCTTAACTGGTCACTGGACTAGTCTGAACACTGGCAAATTAATTCATTTAATTTGTTCGATGAATGCGTGGACTGGGTCTGAAAAGATAGTTTGGCCTTATAAGCTTTTCTGTCTAGTGAATGAAGAGTGCTGTATGTATACATTGGAGTCAATAAGGGATTGCCAGGCTGGGCTGGGTGCTGGGGCAGGACTGTCCCCGGGCACTGGGGAGGACAGAGGCCTTTGCTGGGAGGCCTGAGCAGACACATTCAGTGTGGTTCGGGTTTCTTTTTCAGAACTGTCTTTTCTTCTTAAGCAAAATGTTTACCTGTGAGTAGCACTTTGAGGATCCATAAGGATTCAAACATTTTGAACTCACCTTGCTTTGAATAAGTAAGCCAGAGTGTGTTCTCTTTGGTGAATGAGAATAAAAGTATTTTATGGAGTGTTGAGGAGGCTAAAGTTTTGGCTTCAGGACATTGTATCTGTCTTCCTTCACCTTCTCTCCCGTCATATCAGTCCTCTTGAACCATCTGAACCATTGCAAGGTTCAGATTGATGAATGTACAGTTTCTCATTGCATGTAATTTGCTAATTATTTATTAAAATTCTGTTTTGCATATAACCTTTATATTTTTGGTCCCTCTGTTGTTTTTGCCAGTTGGTCTGTAAATAGGAATTTAAATAAGTGGAACCCTCTCAGGCATTCTATTTGGTGGTCCTATATGAATAAATTCATACATTGTATTGTTTTATGTTATGTGTCCTGTTCTTATCAGTGTGTATTTTTCAGGCAGCTTTTTTTTTTTTAAACGTACTGTTGGGCTCTGGGAATACATTTATGAGGAGGACATAGTCACTAGCTTCTACAAATTTCTTATTAGAGAACTGGTATAAACAACTAATTATAGCGTAGGTTAAAGACATATCAAGGCGTTTGTGTCATAGGAGGGAGCTGGGTTGACTAGTTTTGCCAACTTATGTGTTGATCAGTTTATGTAATGGAGAAAACAACCATGCAGGTATTGATTCTGGATCTGTGTAGCTCAGTTTTGCATTGAGTGAACACACTGATCAGCGAATTTCATCTGATTCACCACACTTGTCACTCATCTAATGTGTCTTTAGGATTGTTTGTTTTAAGTGGTGAGCAAGTGTGTCTGAATTCAGACCTGTGAACACTGGAGGGAAAAGTTTGGTTGGACCAACCTGGTTGACAGTTGTCATCTCACGTGAGGAGCCTGCCTGGCTACCTCATTTTGGATGCTAAATGTCCAACTGACTTGAGATTTGGACTTGACTGAGCAACTTATCTGGTCTTGTGCCTCCGCTTTTTGCTCTGTATTAAGGGGCTTGGTGGGAGTACCTGCCTTCAGGGCTGATGTGAGTGCTGAATGTGATCATCTGAAGGGCTTGGCATGTGGTAAGTGATAGATGAGTGCTAGTTCTTGTGGTTTGCATATGCATAGCATGTTTTAATCTTGACAGCTTGTGAAATACGAGGTGAGCCATATTGCAGTTATTTTCAGTGGGGCCAGACCAGTTCCTTGGTCTGAAGGCTTTCCACATGTTCATCTCAGCAAACATTTATTGAGGACCTGTGTTTCAGACACTGATGTGGTTGGTCATCGAAGCAGAGCTGAAGTGGTGGCGCCTGTCCTCAAGCAGTGCATACTTCCTATTTGTGTGGTTCTCTTTGGTTTCCCAAAGTACTGCTATGATCATGACATTTAAAGAGTTAGATTTAGGGCCTGGCGCGGTGGCACAAGTGGTTAAAGGTCCTCGCCTTGCACGCCCGGGATCCCATATGGGCGCCGGTTCTAATCCAGGCAGCCCCGCTTCCCTTCCAGCTCCCTGCCTGTGGCCCGGGAAAGCAGTTGAGGACGGCCTAAAGCTTTGGGACCCTGCACCCGCGTGGGAGACCAGGAAGAGGCTTCTGGCTTTGGATCGGCATAGTATCGGCCCGTTGCGCTCACTTGGGGAGTGAATCATCGGACGGAAGACCTTCCTCTCTGTCTCTCCTCTCTGTATATCTGCCTTTCCAATAAAAAAAAAAAAATAATAATAATAATAAATCTTAAAAAAAAGAGATTTAAAAAGTGAGCAATTTTTAAAACTATAAATCTTCTAAAGTAATATATTTGTTATTTATGATTAACAAAGTAAGTTAACCCATTTAGGGATAGATCTGTTTAGAATAATCTGAGTTTGCTGATAAGTTTCTGTAGATTTTTTTAGAGGAAGTAACTTTTATTACAGTAGGGAATTAAATGACCTGTACCGTTGGTGAGATTGGGTGAATTGATGCTCAGGCCACTTTGTCCTGTCCATCCAGATTTGTCATCCACAGATGGTACTGGTAGTGTGAGGATATTTCAAAAAGCTTGGGAAAATGAAATTAAAAGTTGTGTCAATGCAAAAAAAAAAATCCTTTCGTAGTCTCTTCATAAGAGTTTATTTCCCATGAACTTTTTGAAGATGCCATGTAGGTAATGAGTCAGGCAGTGGTAGCGAGTGGTAGCTACTGTGTGCAGTTTCTCAATACAGTATTGCCTGTTCTAACAAGAAACAGATCCATATTTTGTTAGATGAGGTCAATGGGCTTTAAAGACTCAAAGTTGATGTTTTCCAAAATGTTGGTTATAGTTGTTAACAGTGTATATTCAGGACCCAGCATAGTAGCCTAGTGGCTAAAGTCCTCATCTTGTATGTACCAGGGACCCATATGGGTGTCAGTTTGTGTCTTGATGGCTTTGCTTCTCGCTTCTCATCCAGCTCTCTGCTTGTGGTCTGGGAAAGCAGCCAAGGACAGCCCAAATCCTTGGGACCCTGCACTGGCTTGGGAGACAGAAGAAGCTCCTGGCTTCTGGGTTCATATCAGCTCAGCTCCCTCCGGCTGTTGCAGCCACTTGGGGAGGGAATCAGTGAATGAAAATCTTTCTGTCTCTCCTTCTCTCTGCATATTTGCCTTTCCAATACACATAAATAAATATGTTTTTTTTTTAAACAGTGTATATTCAGTAATTTTACTAAAGGTCGAACATCTCTGTCACAGTTCTTTAAAACCTAACACCACCATGATGCCACCAATAGAAAATTGCACATCTGACCTCATGATAGATTGCAGTCAAAATGTGGATGCACTAAAAATACTATATAAGGTTACCTAGAGGGTGTGTGTATAAAGTATTATGGAAGACAAATGAATTTCATGTTTAGACCTGGGTTCCATTCCCAGATTTCTCATAGTATATATGCAAATACTGTAAAATTCTCAGTCTTTCAAATTTGATGTAGAAGCAGTCTGGTCCCAAGCATTTTACTTAAGGGATACTCAGCCTAAATTTGGTAATATATCTGCCTCAGAGACCAGTATCTTCTTTCCTAGGATTTGTTGTGATTAAATAAGAATAGTGAATACAAGTTGCCTAACACAGGGCTCACTGTGTAAAAGTCATTTATCAGATGCTATTATTAGACATTTTGCTCTGCATATGTATATTTTTATTGTGACTTTCTGTGTATAGGTATAGTTTAAAGAAAAACAGTCTGATTGCAATAGGAATAATTTAGTCAACAACATATGTCTCAGATATGCATTTAACAAGCTTGGTGTATTAAAAATCTATTCTTGCATTTTTGCTTTCGTCACTAACATTTACTTGACTATTCTAAAGAAACAAGAGAAAATATTGACTTCTGTCCTAACTCTGTTCCCCTGTGGTTTGTTTGCCATGGGACTGAATTTACTCTGAAGGGGAACTATGTGACTTGCATTCCAGTTTCAGTAATAGGAAATGACTTGAGCAAAATTGCAAGGAAGTGGAGGTCAGAGATCAGCCTTGACCAGTATAGAAGCAGAGTTCCATAACAGTTCTCCTCATTTCCTGAATTTAATGGCTGCATTTGGGAATTTGTAGGTGATAATCTCCTTTATTTTCTTCTGCCTGAGGACATAGATGCTCTCTTGAGTAAGAAACACATCTGTGATTATGGCAATATACTGTAATGAGTGTATAGGAATTACTACCATCCTAATGGTAGAATATTTAGGAATGTGCCAGTTCCCTAAAATGTTTTTTCATGTTTAAATCAGTTTTGATGAAATGTTATTTGCACACAGAAAATTCACCAGTTTTAGTTACACATTTGTTCAAGTTTTACAGATGTCCAGCTGTGAGAACATTACTCTCAGAATAGTACAGTATTACCTCAAAATGTCCTTCTCCCAGCTCCTCTCCTTTCCACACTAAAGCCCGGAGCTGGGAGCTCAGTGCAGGTCTTATACAACCTGGCAAAAACCCAGATAGCAGAGCTGCCCTTGGCCTGCATTGGCAGAGCCCACTGATAGTGATGCAACTGTCTCCTGCAACCTGGAGCTTCTGAACCAGGTGCCTGCTCCTCGAATTTCAAATAAATGAAGTCACATCATATGCAGTATTCCCAGTTTGATATGTTCCCCTTTGCATAACGCTTTTGTCATTCATTCAAGTTACTTTGTTAGTATGTATTTCTTTTTTTTTTTTTTGCCAAGTGTTCATCCATTATATAATTTGCTTATTCACCTGGTGGCACACTCTTGGGTTAGTTTGAGTCTGACACTGTTATAATTTAAACTTTTGTGAATTAATATTGTGTTTTTGTGAATGAATATTTCATTTCTTATAAGCAGATACCTAGGAGTAGATGGGTGATTTGCATGATATGGTTGTGTTTAACTTCAGGAGAAATTGAAAAACTGTCACCAGAGTATGAGGTGGCTGTTGCTTTTTTTGTGATATTTCTTTGCCCACGCTTGTTACCATTTTAGCTGAATGTGTTCGAGTTTTCATTGTGGTTTTAATTGGCATTTGTATCATGGTTAATGTTATTAGACATATTTTCATGTGTTTCTTGGCTATTGATAAGTAACTTTTTTAGTTACATTTTACATATGAGTTTTATTAACTTTTTAGGGTTTTTTATATGAATCTTTTATTTTTTATTTTTTAAAGATTTGTTTTAGTTTTTTATTGGAAAGGCAAATACACAGAAGGAGAGAGAGAAAGATGTTCTGTCATTGGTTCACTCCCCAAGTGGCTGCAGTTGCTGGAGCTGACCTGATTTAAAGCCAGGAGCCTCTTCCAGGTCTCCCACGTGAGTGCAGGGTACCAAGGCCTTGGGTCATCCATGACTGCTTTTCCAGGCCACAAGTAGGGAGGTGGAAGGGAAGTGAAGCATCCTGGACACGAATTGGCACCCATATGGGATCCTGGCAGATGCAAGGCGAGGACTTTAGTCAGTAGGCTATCGTGCCACACTTGAATTTTTTATTTTGTTGGTTTTGTAAGACTAAATTTTAAAAAAACATTAATGAAATTGCCTTTTTAAACCTTTTGCTTTATGGTTCTGTATTTGTTTGTTTGTTTGTTTTTTCTTTGTCCTTCAAGGATTTTTACCTAAAAAGATCACAGATTTATTACAATGTGTTTCTGTAGATTATTAAAAGTGTCTCTGGTTGTAGTGAGGTTTGAATACATTCTGAGCTAGTTTGGGGGAATGGCAGGAGGGAATCTCTCAACAGGGCAGAGAAACTCCATGGTGAATCAATACAACAATTAACCCCAAAACTTAGAATTAAAGTAGTTCTTAAATTGTGCTCAGTGAGGGCCCGGCACGGTGGCACAGTGCTTAAGGTCCTCGCCTTGCACGCCCGGGATCCATATGGGCGCTGGTTCTATTCCGGCAGCCCCGCTTCTCTTCCAGCTCCCTGCTTGTGGCCCGGGAAAGCAGTCGAGGACGGCCCAAAGCTTTGGGACCCTGCACCCGCGTGGGAGACCAGGAAGAGGCTCCTGGCTTTGGACTGGCATAGTATCGGCCGTTGCTCTCACTTGGGGAGTGAATCATCAGACGGAAGATCTTCCTTTCTGTTTCTCTCTGTATATCCGCCTTTCCAATAAAAAAAAAAAAATAATAAAAATAAATCTTTAAAAATTGGGCTCAGTGAAAACCTGCACTAAATTACCCCAATACTCGGTGGAACGTAGGTTCAGCCTGCATGCAGACATACTGACTGAGCCACACTCACAGGGGCAGAACCTGCATTTCATACTGATATGTGCAAACTTTGAAAATCAGTGATTCAAATACCTTAGAACAAGGGCCAACGGCAGGAGTGCAGAACTCAGTGCAGGTCTCCAGTGTGAGTGGCAGGAACCTCATTGCTTGCGCTGTCAGTGCCGCTTCCCAGGGTCAGCATTAGTAGGAAACTGGCATCAAAACTGGAGCAAGTACTCAAACTGAGCCACTTTGGTGTGGGATGGTGGCATCCTAAAACGATGCCTTTTTTTTTTTTAAGATTTATTATTATTTTTTTTCATCAGAAAGGTAGATATACAGAGAGAAGGACATAAAGACAAAGATCTTTGTCCACTAGCCACTCCCCAAGTGACTGTAAGGGTCAGAGCTGAACTGATCAGGAGCCAGGAACCTCTTCTTGGTCTCCCATGCAGGTGCAGGGTCCTAAGGCTTTGGGCCAAACTCTACTGCTTTCTCAGGCTATGAGCAGGGAGCTGGATTGAAGTGGAGTGGCCTGGATGCATACTGGTGTCCAAATGGAATTCCAGCGACTGCAAGGCAAGGATTTAGGCATTAGGCTACCTTGCTGGGCCCCTAAGCCATGTTTTTGCCACAGCACCAATGCATACTGCTTCTAACTACTTCATTGTTTTTGTTTTTTTTTAAGGTTTACTTATTTGCATGGCAAAGCAGTAGAGATACAGAAAAAGATAAACCAAGCCATCTTCCAACTGCTGGCTCATTTCCCAAATGGCCACAACAGCCAGATCTGGGCCAGTCCAGAGCCAGGCCCCAGGACCTCCATCCTGGTCTGCTACGTGGAGGGGTGGGGGCCAAGCACTTAAGCCATCTTTTACTGTCTTCCCTTAGCAAGGAGACAGATCAGAAGCAGAGTGGCTGGGACTCAACCCAGTGCTCAGAAAAGGAATGCTGGTGTTATAAGTATAGATTTAACCTGCTTTTACTTCAGATACTAGATTTCACTTAAAGGGATTTTTGCCCTTTAGAATGTGTCTTAATATGATTCTCTGTCAACAGTTAAGTCATTGGTTTATTCTGGCTTCTGTTTCTGTTCTTCTAGGGGTGTCATTTTAAGTTTATTTTCATCATTAAAGATTTATTTATTTATTTGAAAGAATTGTAGATAGGTAGACAGAGGGAAGAATGGGAGAGAGCAATCTTCTCTTTCCTGGTTCACTTCGCAAATGGCTGCAATGGCTGGACCTTGGATAGACTGAATCTAGGAGTCAAGGAGTTCTTCCAGGTCTCCTGTGTGAGTGCAAGGACCCAAGTACTGCAGCTGTTTTTCACTGCTTTCCCAGATAGCATTCGCGTGGAGCAGCCTGGATTCAAACCAGTGCAATAGGAGATCTTTCCTTTCAAGTCAATGACTGATTTAATTCTTTGGTGTTTTGAGACTAGCCTGAATCCTGAGCTGATAAATGAGGAGGTGCATGTGATAAATCCCTTGACTCTAGGGATTAACAGGCCCATGTTTTAATTCTGCCTCTCCATTTATTCAACTTCTGCATGATTCTGAAATACCTTTAAGTCAAGTCAGAATCATCCCTGAGGTTCCGTGCTTCCCTAGTGTTGCT